CAATTCAATATTTATATATTGTAATGATAATTATTACTTAATAACTCATTGTTGAGTTATTTTATTTAATATTTTTAGATATTAATGATTCCATTAGTAAAAATCTCAATGGCCTACCATTACTCTATTCTTATTATATATAATATGATCAGAGTTTTGGCAGCAATCCGAGTGAAGCGTCACTTGAAGTTTTATTTTAATGTTTTTTTAATAGTTTATTGTGTAATTTGTATTATTTGTATTTGTAATATTGTGTATAAAAGGTCTGCGTAAACTCATGTTCAGTCAATGTGGTATTCGTCGAGTTGACATCAAAACTCCCAAAAAGCAATAAAAATAGATACACCGGCTTTTTATTGACATAAAAAATATATAACTTCGACAGACTAAGCTGTATAGGCTACGCTCTTTGCCTGCTTATTGGTGAATTTAAAAACAACAACAACAATATCGTTGCCGGCTTTCGGATTTTCATTTCATTTTATTATTAATATGAGGATATAATAATAATAAAATGTACGTAAGGGCTTATTTCTAGCAACATTAACCACAATTAACTTATTTAATACTGTAAATAATTATGAGAGCGATTATTGATTTCGAAGAAAACAATTAACAACTTAATTTTAGTTGCAGAAAAAAACAGATTTCTCTTAAACCTGGGTGAGAATATAAAAATCGTTTTCTGAATATGAAACGATATTTCTTTGTCTATCAAATTAAGTTAAAGCCATCATGACAGGACAACTTTTTTTAGGGGCCCAAACGCCCATACAAAATGGGCATCGTCCTTTGTTTTTGTAATATAATTTTCTTTATTTTGTAGAATTCAGAAAACCTTTGATCAATCTAAAAATTTAGATCATCATGAGATGTACTACCTATCCGTGCCGACTCAGAATAGCGTTAGGCACAATAGGCAAAAATGTTATAGTAGATAAACAAAAAACATGTTATATATACAGAAACGACAAGCATTTTAAAATTTTCCACTTATTTGGCTACAGAAAATCATATTTACTTATTTAACACGTTAGAATTTAGATATTTCTGAGAAATAAAATACAGTCATTCGGTGCTGTAAGCTTTGAAACTTTGCCAAATACAATGCGTATGAATATCATGAGCAATTTAGGTAACTTTTTTTTATATTGCTTAGATGGGTGGACGAACTCACAGCCCACCTGGTGTTAAGTGGTTACTGGAGCCCATAGACACCTACAACGTAAATGCGCCACCCACCTTGAGATATAAGTTCTAAGGTCTCAAGTATAGTTACAACGGCTGCCCCGCCCTTCAAACCGAAACGCATTACTGCTTCACGACAGAAATAGTGGTACCTACACGCGCGGACTCACAAGAGATCCTACCACGAGTAAAAAGATCTTTCTTCTTGCAAAAACTGAAAGTGTACGGTTTCAATTGTAAAAAAATGAAACTTTTAACTTTAAGTCATAATACTTAGGGAATAGTAGAATCAACATTTTGATAAGTTTTACACGTTGTCGTTTCAGATTCGCATTAAAATATAACTTTGGCAAATAATAATAAGTACGATGTTGTATTGAAACGCGATAACTATAATGTGATAGATAAAGCAGATTACAGGCCGATCCAACATGCGTTTACATAGTGGCAACTGGGAAATGCGTCATATCGCGTTGTTAGATACAACGTTTTGTGTTTTTATTATAAATTTATAGTACGTATAAACATGCTCTGCAGTAAGTACAATAGTAATTTTTTTTTCGAATTCATGATCACAAAATGCCCTTGACGAATTCGCTGCCGCTACCGTTTGAGAGTGTGCATCAACAATGCATTCAGGTTGTGAAAAAATTTATAGACGATATAATTCAAAAGATATAATCTATCTATACCTTTAAAAGAGCAATTCTTGTATATTAATATATATATATATATATATATAATCTGAATTTCCGAAACGGCTCCAACGATTTTCATAAAATTTAGTATACAGGAGATTTCGGGGGCGATAAATCGATCTAGCTACGATTTATTTTCAGAAAATGTTGTTTTATTCGTGTTTCAATAATGAACTCTTCCCGACATCTATTGGCGAATAATAATACTGTCTTTCTTAATTGAGGGCAACTAACCGCTTTAAAGACACAAAAAGATGGCGTTATCAAAAAAAAACCAGAGCAAAGCATCACCTATAGTAGTATTATTACGGTAGACACGGTAATTGTGGAAATTAATATCCACACGTTTACGGTTTAGACTCGCGTTTTTTTTTTAAAAACACCTAGTGATATAATTTACAAACGATAACACTTATTATTATTAGACACGTACGTATTGTTATTATAATATGTACTAACTAGTTTATATCCTAATAAACGGAGATAAATTACGTACGGTCATCTGGCCCCAAAACTAGAGGATTCCCGGTGCTGTGGATAATATACGTTTATATTTATAATATACATATTATCAGGACTGTTCATTTCCCCTTCGCATGGCTGAAAATCGTGATATTCACGCAGCTTCTCGAATTTTCACGTAATGTTTTAATTTCCATATCTTGTTTTTTTTTGTTCATTCACAATTCGCATTAGAAGATTATATTTTTTTCATTGTTGTTATGATGAGTGGACGAGCTCAAGTCCCACCTTGGTGTTAAGCGTTTACCGAAGCCCAAAGACGTCTATAACATAAAACAGAATAACGGCTGTTCTACTTTTGAAACCGAAATGCATTACATGCAAAAATAGACAGGGTGTTGAAATTCATGCGTGCGGCCTCACAAGGCGTCCTACCACCAATATATTTTGTTTTTGTACATATTTCATCTATCTCTCGCTAACAAGAATCTACATACATATACATATTGAACAACCAGACAAGGAACAAGCAAACCTGTTCATCACACGAATGTTTTGTCCGGTGAGAATCGAACCCACGAACCCTCGCTTTAATAGTCAGGGGCGATAATTACTGCACCAACGAGTCAGTTAGTTTATACTATTTAATAAACTATACGCTGTAAAGTTTAATTAATATCTTATGTCGACGGATCTAATAGTACATCAATTTGTAAATAACATTCAATAACGCGAATCGAGTTCCGTTTTGGTATTATTATAGATAGCAGTTAAATTTAAAATCATTCGCCCAGAGTCCCAGACATTTGCGCTTGCTAATCTATAAACTAAAAAAACAATTTTTTTTACTCCAGAAAAAACGGAATTGATACACGATCATTCTCAGCATCATCTTTTACAATTACTTTATTTATAACGTTATTACCGTAATATTTTTCTACGTTTCAATTCATAATAATACAATAGATTTTTTTTTAGGTAGAACTAACACGATCAATAATAGAATAACCTATCTACGTGATGATTCAGTTTCCTTACAACTCAACACAATAGACAGCGACCTTCAATCCACAAAATCACTTATTCATCATAAATTACGTACCTAGTACGTTTATCAAAAATATTCACACGTGATAAATTAAATAATATGTAAAAAAAAAAAAAAAAAGGTACAAGAATTAATGGCCGACGATTTATGGAAACTAGCCCATCGTCAGGCTATTAAAAATATCAAGGCGTTGTCGTTAAAGAAGTAACAAAGTACGTAAAAGTCACGACACAGATGAACCTTACACCCACCCGGGTCAGTTTATTCGGCACCATATTATTTAAACTACTTAAATTAGATTTTTAGATTCTAATTAGCGAGAGATAGATGAAATACAAAAATAAATATTGGTGGTAGGACAACTTGTGAGCCCGCGCGCGTGGTTTTCACGACCCTGCATGGATCAAGCAGTAATGTGTTTCTATTTGAAGAGTACGACAGCCTTTATACTGTAAAATGGTATTTATTTTATAGACGTCTATGCGCTCCGGTGACCACTTAGCACCATGTGGGGCGTGAGCTCCTCCACTCACCTTAACAACAATGAACAAAAAATAAATAAGATTCTACTAATTCAAATTGTGAATGAACAAAAAAAACGAGACATTGAAATAACAACATTACGTCAAAATTCGAGAAGCTGCGTGAAAATCACGATTTTCAGTCATGCGAAGGGGAAATGAACAGACTGCACGCGTGCTCGTAATTTAAGAAGGATATTGACCGTCTGATCTAAAGATAACATTAAAGAAACACACGATCTGTTCGTGTGCACTGGTAGGTTATTACTTACAGGTACATATTTTAACAAAAAAAAACATTAAATATCTCTTTTTTTTCTAACCTGTTCTTGTAGACTCGAGGGGTTATTTTAGATTCACCGAACTAGTAGGTCAGCTCACGGGGCTCAAACCGGGACTGTTGCTAACACTGGCCCTAGTAAGAGCATTGCTTCGCAGAATCTAACATCGGATCGGAAACGCGACCCACTGAGATTCGGCGAGAAACTCAGTGGTCTGTCAGTGTCTATGGGTTCATTTACTCGTCGAGCCCTTCGTCGCAAGCGACGGGTTCGGCGAGGACGGTATAGTCTTTAACATTGACCGAAGATTATTTCATGATTATCTACTTTAATTGCCCTTTTAGGCACACAAACATACGGTCCACGTGAAGGTGAGTGGTTAACGTCTCTCATGGACGTCAGCAATGCCAAGAGGACAGTCAAAACACTGCCTTAGTTGAATATTACGTAATAATTTAGTAGGCAAAAAATTGATAGCAGCGAAGTGTGTTTTTACGTTTCCAATGTGATATTGTGAATGAGAAAATTTCAAAGGCAGGATTCAAGACTAAAAGATAGCTTTTTTAAGAACAATCAGTTACTATATACATATAAATATTAGTTTGATTTTATATGCAATTAGTTTTAAGACGCGCTCAGAAAACAGCATAGTTGGAATACTGACATACAAAGGTTATCCGATGATTACTATTTATGTGCGTAGACATATTTTCCAAGAAAACACGCAATGAATCACCTTTTCAAAATAAAGATAATAAATTAGTGTTAGCGCGCTCTAATCTAAAACTGATATTAATCTTACCTTGGCAATGAGCTGTCCGTCGTCACCGATTAAGTATTCTTCAAGTCCAAATACAAGAGGCGATGCATTACCGAGATGGAAGATTCTAGAAGACGAGCCAATTGTCACTCGGAACTCTATGGTCTTCGCCATAAGCACATCAGTGATCATATAAACGGACTTCTTTCCCTTCAGATCTGATAAGTGAAAATAGCGTTATAAATCAGATACTTCTGGGTCTGAAAGTCGCGGGTGACATTCACTTTGGGAATTGCATAGGCTGGGCAGCCACTTTACATCAGGTGTGCCGTGAGCATATTAACTCGTCTAAGCAACAAAAAACATGTTTGCCTTCTTTATTATGTGATAGTTTACTGGTGGTAGGACCTCTTGTGAGTCCACGCGGGTAGGTACCACCACCCTGCCTATTTCTGCCGTGAAGCAATAATGCGTTTCGGTTTGAGGGGTGAGGCAGCCGTTGTAACTATACTTGAGACCTTAGAACTTATATCTCAAGGTGGGTGGCGCATTTACGTCGTAGATGTCTATGGGCTCCAGTAACCACTTAACATCAGGTGGGTTGTGAGCTCGTCCACCAATTTAAGCAATAAAAAAAATTAAGTTTCTTTGTCTTCGAAGTCGAGTGCTAAGAAGACGTTTGGGAGTGCATTCTGACGTGATGTGGTGACAAAAAGTTCTGTGGACCTATACAGTTTACTGTCACCCAGCCAGTACATTATTATTAGAGTGTAGACAAGGATCGATTTTTTATGTAGAGATAGTTCTGCAGACCTTTATAGAAAGGAGCTTAGATTTTTACACAAATTTCAGATTATCGAATGTCATTCTTTTTCTCTGAATAAAATTAATTACTTAGGATGCTTCCGGTACTTTCTTTCATTATTTTTTTCATTAATCATAGAGACTTCTGGAAAGTCCACACCGTGAATGAATTCTTTTTTTTTTTCTTAATTATAAAGGCGCCTCGTGGATTACTGTAATTAATATTCAGATAAAGTCTTTAATTCTTACCTTCATTATTTTCAACATCCAAATAAATATTTTTAACGAGTTCCTTATTCTTAGGAATCGTACATCTGGAGAAGTTCACCATGATGACTCTAACTTTATTCTTGATGGATTCATCTTGCAAAGTGATCTGAAATGAAGCTTATTTATAGTATTGTTTATGCTACCAGTGTGTGTGTGTTTTTTTTTTTATTGCTTAGATGGGTGGACGAGCTCACAGCCCACCTGGTGTTAAGTGGTTACTGGAGCCCATAGACATCTACAACGTAAATGCGCCACCCACCTTGAGATATAAGTTCTAAGGTCTCAAGTATAGTTACAACGGCTACCCCAACCCTTCAAACCGAAACGCATTACTGCTTCACGGCAGAAATAGGCAGGGCGGTGGTACCTACCCGTGCGGACTCACAAGAGGTCCTACCACCAGTGATTACGCAAATTATAATTTTGCGGGTTTGACTTTTATTACACGATATGTGTTTAGTGTATGTTTTTTAATCTTCATGATAGCATAAAAAATAATTAAAATTTTTATGCAGTTGGAACAACGGCCCTGGCAGCAAACGTAGGCAAACGTTCCAAAACTCTCTGTCTACTTTGCGAAACATATTTCGCAGGGAATCTCAATACAACTATTATTCCTCAAATACATACACACAATTTTAGTAATAATATTCGCACAAAATAATAATCTTTCGACCTAAAAGATTTTCCTCTTGCGTTTTCGTGATTTTATTAGTATTTTGCGCCAGGGTTTTAAACGTGACTCATTCGAACATCACGATCTCAACATTTTACCGGTTCAAGTTCTGTATCGAAGCAATACATGTGCACAAAACAAATTTGCTTAAGCATATACCATTTTTAATTGTAAAGTTTTTGATCGACCAGTTTTTTCTCACTTCGAGTAGAACGAGCTCGATTATTACGTTACTCACACACACCCACACTACAATGTGACAACTCTTTTTATCGGTTTTTTTATTTATTTCTTAGATGGTTGGACGAGCTCACAGCCCACCTGATATTAAGTGGTTACTGGAGCCCATAGACATCTACAACGTAAATGCGCCACCCACCTTGAGATATAAGTTTTAAGGTCTCAGTATAGTTACAACGGCTGCCCCACCCTTCAAACCGAAACGCATTACTGCTTCACGGCAGAAATAGGCGGTGCGGTGGTACCTACCCGTGCGGACTCACAAGAGGTCCTACCACCAGTAAATACGCAAATTATAATTTTGCGGGTTTGATTTTTATTACACGATGTTATTCCTTCACCGTGGAAGTCAATCGTGAACAATTGTTAAGTACGTATTTCATTAGAAAAATTGGTACCCGCCTGCCGGATTCGAACATCGGTGCATCGCTAGATACGAAAGCACCGGACGTCTTATCCTTTAGGCCACGACGCTGACAAAATGAAAAAAAAATCTACCTACTGCTATTAACCTGGAGAGGAAGTCAATCGTGAACAATTGTTAAGGGAAGTCAATCGTGAACAATTGTTAAGTACGTATTTCATTAGAAAAATTGGTACCCGCCTGCCGGATTCGAACATCGGTGCATCGCTAGATACGAAAGCACCGGACGTCTTATCCTTTAGGCCACGACGCTGACAAAATGAAAAAAAATCTACCTACTGCTATTAACCTGGAGAGGTAATATTAGCTTCCCGAACTTGGTAATACTTCTGCTCACCTTGCAACATTTGTCTGGGGGCTTTAAATGACAATGCATGATTGTACTGATGTAGTTAACGCTCTAGATATTATAATTGCGAAATATTTGATTCTTTTACACTTGTCTACACGCGTTACCTCGAAACTCCGTCGACCTTGACTTAATGGAGGACACGTGAATCATATTATTAACCTCAAGGGTGTTCTTAGTAAAAAACTAGTATTCTCATCTTGTACACATTTGAGATTGAAAAAACGTTTAATTATGAATATAAAGGTCAGAAAAACGAGTAATACCATTAAAATAAATTGATAATTGCTTGCACACCTGGACTGATAAATGTCGAATGATGCCAAGTGGAGTTATTTTTTCCTAAAATATGATTCTCCTTAAGTTTGGTTTATCGGTGTCCACAGAGGCGGATTATCCGTAAGGCAAACTAGGCACGTACCTAGAGGCGTGTAGTTGCAAGGGGCGCGCGAGCTCAGAATTTTCATATAAATAAAGAAAATAACATATCGACGATTAAAAACTAAATGCCTGAACTAAATGTCCTGGTCTACTAAAGTCTAGGGTTTGATGATACAACCTCATCGTAATTGCAAAAACAACTAGTTAAAATTTATATTATTATGATGGCCATTTATGTCCGGTACAGGGGCGCCGATAAAGTGATTGCCTAGGGCGCTCTGGACTTTTAATCCGCCATTGGGTGTCCAGAAAGTTTCGTGTTTTGAAATAACGATGCAAGTCACGCTAGAGGTATGTCTACTGTCTACACATTATAACAAGCAATTTTACACACAGATTGTGACTAACCATGTGCTGTGTACTCCGTTAATCAATTTCAAGATATACACGTATACATAAACTAAGTGTCTGCATATCTAATGGATGATTGCAGATAAGATTACAGGTAAAAAAAACCCTCTATGAAAGTATCAAAATGATAATTCACAAGCTGAGATTGTCGACAGCGTTGGCGTTGTTCCGAGTTATTATATTTTTTAAAATGTTCATTGAATTAAATAAACTATAGTTAAAAGATTTATGTATAGATCAATTTATTATAAACGAACTTCCTTACCCATATTTTCGATCGATTATCCATATGGATTTTCTATTACGCACATTTAGCCTATCTATGTAAACAAAGTCAATGTTTATAATGTTTATAGTAGAGATGGATGAATAAGCTCCAGTTAAAATGTAAAATGTAAAAGGTAATACCAGAACACCTACTTCGTGGGAGAAATAGGTTGGATGGTATTGGCACCTACCCATGTGGGCTTGTATTATGACCTACAAGTAAATATCAGCTGGCGACCGCGTTACACTGTTGTAATACTTAGAAAACACCCGTGCTCATTCACCGGAGAATCAGTTACTCGCTTTTACAGTTGACTTTGTAGTATGGCAGTGGTCGGCAACCGGTGGCTTACGAGCGGCATGCGACCCTTTGGCTCCTCCCTAACGGAGAAGTCAGAAGAAGTCTCTTTGGCAAATTTGTTTAGTTCAAGCACTGTATATTACTTATTATCTTGCCTTGTAAGAGACAAGTAATTTTTTTTTGAAACACAAAGATGTAATAAAAATATTGCTCTTAAAAATAAATATAAATTGTGTGTAGCTCTCTGGTCTGCTCTTTTAGTTGACAAGGTTGCTAAGCACTACAAGGGTATTACAGCTTACTAATTACACTTTGCACACCATACTAAAATCATTGCTGATCTGAGTAGTCAGGCTTTGTCGGGGAATATTTGTAGGCAGCGGCTTGGCTCTGCCCCTGGCATTGCTGAAGTCCATGGGCGACGTTAACCACTTATTATCAGGTGGGCCGTATGCCCGGCTGCCTACAAAGGCAATAAAAAAAAAAAAAAAAAGTTCAATGAATCAGTCTCTTAAGTAGAAAAATAGAAAACTAATCATAAGGAACAAGAAGTTCAGTAAGGTGACCTTGAGGAATGCATAGAACTGGTAATATGAATTAATGAATTAGATAGAAAAGTAGGGAACCATTATTACAGATCAGACGATGATAACCTTCTTCTTAAATCTTCTACTTATTAGCCAGATAAGGCTCATTCATCATTCAGATCCCGAGATTGTAAATTTCATCTCCATACAAGGTGTAACATTATTTTTAATGTATTTTCAAATTTTCTGGTTCTATTATTATTTTCATGTTTTTCTAAAATAATCTTTCAATATTTCAGAATATTTCTATCAAAAAATTCCTGCTTATAATTTTAATTAATACCACTATCTTAATCTGATAATCCCAGTACTTCAAAATAGATCATAGCCTACATGGGGTAATAACCAACAATATATGGATCAGTGATGCCATGCCATAATTACAAAATAATTATTACTGAGTTATTTATGGAAAAATAAAGCACTGGGGCTAAATTTAATCAATGTAATATTCCATGCCAATTCCATTCCAATACTGATGCAAGTAGTTGTAAATTGAATTATCTGTGATCTATATGTACATATATTAACAGAAATGTTTATGACAGAGGCACTAATTGTTATGCTAAAGACTAAATGTGTTTCTATTACATTATTTCACTGAATATATAAAATAACAGTTTATAAACTTTAATATACAGTCAAAACCGTTTACTGCGACATCGTTTAGAACAACATGCCGGACATCGTTTAGAACAACATGCCGGTTATAATAACCTAGAACAAAGGTCCCGGCTGAATGCTATATGACCGCCTTATTAAAAACATTGCTTTATACGACATTGCTAATAACGACATACCTCATAAAACGACCACATTTAGCTAATATTTCGGAGAATTAGATCTGTTAGAACGACCGGCTAAGCTGTATTGTAAACAATTTGAATAGGTATACATTTGTATTCAATGGCTATTAAAATGAGCAGAGAAAACAATAGGGTTGAGTTTAGTGTAGGGTCTTTTCTAATTCTTAGAAACAAAACACGTGCATGCGGTAGAGTCAAAGCCCGCTTCTTCATATCTCTTCAGTTAGTTTGTTACTAATCTATACAGAAGACGCACCAAAACTTTGAATGATGGTATCAATGCTGTTAGTGTATTAAGAAAGATTGATCTTTTTAATGAACAGTTCCATATCCACAGCTATTATGACGATACGTTAATTAAAATCCAAAGTGAATTACAAAATATTTATGCACCACAGAAGTGTTCCAAACAGACCAAAATTACAGATTTTATGCTCACAGAAAAATAATATGCATTGTACTTATGTGTAATAAACAAAATGTACATAGTTGAATAAATATATTTTTCCAATAATTTCCTATCGATTTGTTTGTACTTGCACGATACACATTAAACATCACCGGTTGTTACGACTATTGGTTTTTACGACTGAATATGAGCAGTCCCTTCGATGTCGTTATAACAGATTTTGACTGTAGACATTTTTTTTTCATTTCCTCTTTGTTAGAGTTATGGGACTATGTCTATATGACTATTAATTTAACTATTTAGCAGTTCTACCCTTTACATCAGAACACATTACTGTATTGTGATAAAAAAATTGACTGGTGACCTAAAGCTCTTTCCAGTATGACAAGAACAAGTTAGAATACAGGCTCAGTCTGAAGGGTTTGGGACGAAAGCAGGCAGTGGTAGCAGTACCTGTATGGGCTTTCAGTTACAACCAGTAAAACATGTCTTCTTAGTTTAATTTAGTTGATTTAAGGCTAATTTTAGTATGAAATTTTATATCATATTTTTTTAAATTGTATATTATATTTAAAGAACGGCACAAGGACAATTGTTACTATGACACAACTCATCTATTATTATTCTTAATGTTTATGTCCAATCCTTAATCATATCTTTTTCTTTTTGTTAAACGTGAATCACGCGGAACTGGTTGGTTTGTAGTAATATTAAAAACCAGACGATGTCTTTCAGGTGAGGTCAAGGTCAAGCAGGTAAATTTTAGGAGTAATAATGAAGGGCTTGCACTTAATAGACACTTAGTTTTAAATTATTAAAAGGAAACTCTTACCTTTACACTCTCGTGTGGAAACTTGAAATCAATATCTTGAAAGTCGCCGTCTTCCAACCACTTCACGTAATCTTCATTTGATTTCTTTTTGTTTAAATTTTTTAACAATTCTCCGAGAGGCGTGAAGTTTTTACCGTTAATCTCTTTCTCGTTTGGCACGAACAGAGACGTGACTTTGTATAAATCAGCTTCAGTGATGTGCGGTATACACACTAACTGCCTGCTTCCAATTTCAATCTCTATTTCGTCTCTTATAAACGGCCACGCATCTTCAAGTTTCAGTGACTTCAAGTTTTCCAATCTTACATCTTTACGAATCTCATGAGAGTAAAGCGATTTTACAACTACTTTAAGCTTCTTCGGCATTTTTGATAATAAATTTTGAGAAAAGTAATCAGACAATATCTATGTACCGTGGTCAGAAAACGACTGAAAATGAAAACAATAAGTGTTTTTTTAAGAGATTGTGTGACCTGGTAACTAAGACCTTTAGGTCAAGTCTTATTTTAATTTTAATGAAAACTTTTTATAAATGAAAAATGATATTAATATTATGAAATGAAATGAAGTTGATTAATATGAAACATGCCATGAAATGAAATGAGATGAGATGAAGTGATATAAGATGAAATATCCTCCTCCTCCTTCAGTCGATCGCTCATTGCTGAGCATCGTGATGCGCCCGCCTGTGACCTTTTTTTGTAATTTGTAGCCACTTTTGTCGGTCAGTGGCACAGTAAAGTGCTTGGCTCAGTGTCATGTCCAGACACTCGGACACTTGGTCACTCCATCTTTTTCGGCTCCGACCTCTGGAACGTCTTCCATCCACTTTACCCGTCATTAAAAGTCTCTCCAGGTTGTCAGAGGGTTTTCTTGCTATATGACCAAAATATTGGAGCACTCTATATAGGCATTTGGCGGATAGCCTCTGGTCAACTTTTAGCTCGTTGAGGATGGAAGCGTTCGTCCAGAAAGCCTTCCAAGGGATGCGCAACATGCGCCGCCAGCACCACACCTCGAACGCATCTATGCGTCGCCTGTCAGACTCTTTCAAGATCCAGGTCTCAGCCCCATACAAAAAGATTAAGAAAACGAGCGTTTCAACAATTTGCACTTTCGTCTTCTTGAGTATGTTCCGATCTCTCCATATTTTGTTTAGCTGGCTCATAGCGGATTTGGCCATTCCGATGCGTCGCTTTATTTCGGTTTCCGATCCAACTCTATTGGAAATAATCGAGCCAAGGTACACGAAAGTCTTGACGCTGTCGTATTGGCCAAGAATATTATTCTCGTTAAGGGTACCGGATTTATCCACGACCATGATCTTTGTTTTGGACTGGTTGATCTTTAGCCCCAATTCCTCGCTGACTATAACCAGACGTCGAAGCAGCTCCTCCATTTTCCCTTTTGATGACGTAACTAATATGGTACCATCAGCGTATCGTAAGTTCGAGATCTTTACGCCCCCAACTGTGTCGCCACCATCCCACTCTTCTAGGGTTTTGCGCATTATGTATTCGCCATAGATGTCAAAAAGTATAGGCAAGACGATGAAACCCTGTCGCACTCCTTACTCAAATCGGAACTCTCTTGATTGTGCTGGGCCGATCCGTACCGATCCCTGTCCCGACAGGTACAGGATTCTCATCAGCTGAATCAGATGTATGGGAACGCCCATGTCCTTAAGCACATACCATAAATGTTTCCAACTAACGCAGTCAAAGGCTTTTTGGTAGTCGACGAAGCATAGGACGGCTGGGATGTTATACTCATAGCACTTTTCTATGATAAATAATCTCAGTAAAATAGTGGTTATTTACCGAGACTTTTTCAGTGGACTTTTTGGAGGAACCCGAGAAGTTACGTTCAGCGGCTTTATTTAATTTTCCCACATTTGTGCACTTTTACAGATACTAAACAGTTAATAAACCACCGTTATTACACATTTAAACCTGAAGAAACACTAAATAGACAAAATAAAACAAATCACACAACTTCACTCCTCGCGTTCCCGTCAAAAAGTCCACTGGCCCTAGGAAGAGCAGTGCTGCGCAGAATCTACCACCGGATCGGAAACGCGACCCACTGAGGCCACTGAGAAGATCCGGCGAGAAACTCAATGGGCTGTGTCTATGGGTTAATTTACTCGTAGTCCTTCGTCGCAACCGATGGGTGCGGCGAGGACGATGTCCGGTGCTTAAAGTACCTAAACGCACCGTTAATGAATCTGGAGGATCCGTAATGATGTGTTTAGGGCGACGTCGACTGTTTACCATTCGGTCCACAGGATCGGGTATGATGTCACGATTTATATTATGTTAAGTGGTTTCAGGAGCCTATAAACACTGTAACGTGAATTCTGTCACCAACCTTGAGACATGAGGTTGACCACGATGAAAGAATAAGTGTCAAATAAAACACCGCAAAATTTGTTAATTGGTGTTAAGGAACGCGCAAGATCATGGCGACATGTATTTTGTAATATAAATTCAATACAATATATATTTATATATTATTTACAACAATAAAAATAGTTATTTAATAATATATGGGCTTAAGTAAAAAAACACATTTGATGTTACTTTTTATAATAGAGATATAAGCTGTTTTAACATGAACATGAAGACTTCAAGTTACATGAGAGGCTCTAAGAGAACTTAATTTAATTAATTTTGCATTTTACTAATTTTAGGTATGTACCTTAAACTGTAATTTTATAGTGTGCAGTGGAATGTATTTCTGTAAAAATAATTGTTTCGTGATACATCTCAAAAGCGTGCAGTACATATAGCTCATATGAGGGGCATGCAAACTTGCGCACTTAATGCTTTTTAGGGTTTTGTGATAAACATAAAATATTTTAAGAATTGAGAACCTACATAAATTACCTATAGTATATCAATACCAACATGATTCCGCTTTCTGTTAAAAATGTCATTGTTACTAGTATCACCAACGAGGCGATTGGGATTTTGGGTATTTCTGTAAAACCTAACGTTTCGGAATAGAAACATATTTCTCCACCTATTTTGACAAAGAAGATATTTCGTAAAACAGAAGTTTCACTGAAATAATGATCTCTTTTTTGTAGTTTTCTATTTAATAATCATCAAACGTTGGATAAACGTCCATCACCTCATATAACAATTGTATACACAAAACCTGTCTATAACCATTAAAATTAAGCATGTAATGATAAAGTGTAACTAAGCATTATAAAATAAAGGAAAAACTTAAAATGCATTATGAAATTGAAACATTTTACAATAGTATTCATATAAATTATTAAAAAGAAAAATAGCTTCCTTATCAGATCATTGATCATGTAGAAAAAAATATCCAGCAACATACAAGTGCCAATGGTAAAACATACACAGTAAGAAAATATTTAACTAAACCTTACATATAAATTAATAGATCAACTGCATTATCACAGTTTCGTAGTGAAATAACACCTTACATTTATAATTTACCATGTTTTGTGTTAACAAAGGGCATTGTCGCTTTGTTAATTTCATTCTGCTTGGGATGCTTGCCATAATACTTAAAAAACAAGTTATTTTGTGTGCTTAAGAATAATTGAACAATTAGTTTGGTTTTGTTTTTTTAACAAAATTAATTGGTATATTGTAACAAACAGTATTACAAAAGTAGAAACATTTCATTAATTTTTTGATAGAAAATGTCATTGTTAACTAAAAGTTTGAGTAATGAATTTCCAGCATTTAAGTATGTATTTTTATCATTTCATTTCATAACAACAAATTTGTCCTATCTGAGAAGATCCTGATGTAAAAGTAAATGTCTCTCATAATAAATTGAAAAAATACTCCATGCTGGATAATTAAAGCATAATAATATTAAATATTTAAATTAACCAATAAGAACATAAAATAATTTTACATTTTAAATATACCCACTCTACATAATTTAATGAATGAGTAGGAAAATATAAAAAAATACATCCACTAATACTCATTTTATAGTGGATGTATTCTTATCTAAAACTTTATTTGGGAATTATTTGTGAGAATAATTATTCTGGATTTTTCGGTTTCTTTTTGTTTTTTCGCCTCAACCGATTTTTAGATAGTTAAAGATTAAGCATTTTTTTGACTAAAATATATAATAAATTATGCACAAGGACCCAAAGATATATTTGAATCATAATATCAGTAACAAGCTATTTAATAATTAATTATCAGAGGTTTATGTTTCCTACACAACAACATGAGTTACTAAAAACCAATGAAGATAATATGGTTAAATAATTCACTTCTTTTGTATATTGGGAGTAGTGGATTGAAATACTGATGATGCCGACATGAGATTTTCTATATATTGTCCGAGAACTTGATTCTCGGAGCGGAGTTTTAGGTTTTCTTCTTTAACAGAGTCAACTCTTTGTGAAAGGTCTGAAAACAAAATTAAAGTATTTTCTAAATAAGTTAGGATTTTGCAGTTTATATACATTATCTGATAACCATAAAACAAAACTAAAGTCATCGACGCTTGAAAGGCAAACATGACTAAGCGACAATGCGTGAAATTTACAGTAGACTAATTTAAAGTTGAAATACTTGAAAACAAAATCTATTTTAACGAATCTAGCTGTAGTAGAATCTAGCTAGTAGCTGTAGGATTGAAATTATTTTAATAGACCTAGAAATATATATTTTTTGCGCATCGAATATGGTTATCGCCTATCATTAATGTACAAAGCAGTTATTGTCGCTTAGTCATGTTTGCCTTTCAAGCGTCGTCATTATCAAAGTGATGTTTATGAGTAGATAAATTTCCATATGATTAGTATTTGAACTTACCATCCAGAGTATTTTGAAGCTCCAAAACTTGTGATATCAAACGAGCCTTTTCCTCTTGCTCATCTATGCCGGAATCAGGTTCAAAACTAGCTGGTCCGTTTAAGCCAGGGCTTGAAGATCCTGCAGTGTAAGAACTGGGTAATGAGTCCATCGAACGACCATGATCTAAACGGTTGTTATCCGTGTCATCGGAAATGATGACTTGAGGGTCGTCATCTGCAAGAGGTATATTATCATCACCACATTTCTGCATTATAACGGACATTTATTTTGATAATTTAACTTTTAGGTAAACTGGGCATAGATTAAATATTAGGATACTAGTAAGTTTTAAAGATGTTTTTAACATTCAATCGATATTAATTTATTACGAGTTATGACGTTGATTTTTTTGTAGCATTTGTTCATTCAATAAGCAAAGGGGCTACAAGCCATAGGACTATCTTTTTTATAAAAAGCTTCACGTTTTTTCTATAAAGAGTGGAATGTTAACGAAAGAACGTTAAGAAAGAAATTAAATAGCATGGGATTGCATGGAACAAGATAAAACAACCCCATAAGTGTTGAATGAGATGAAATGAAGTAGCCTTTGAAAATTTTTCTTCGGAACTTAGATGAACTAATTTGAATTGGGTAATAAATTGATTTTATGTTTGGTCTCTTTCGGAAAATAAAATAAGCCTTCTATGATACAATATTTGCATCACTGAACCTATCATATAACACTGAACTGGACCCACTAAGAAGATCCGGCCAGAAACTCGGTGAGCTATGTCTGTGGGTGCCCCAATGCGAGGCCTGCCTTGGTCTACTGCCGGCCACTCACATGCGAGTGAACATTTGTAGATAGTACGAATGTTCGCGCGCATGTGAGTCGCCGTCAGACATTCATTCGCAAGCTTAGCGGCTGTGCAAATGGGTTCGGTATTCAATTTGCGAACCCGTTTGCGCTTCCTCTTACACTTGTTTACCAATGTCTCACGAATTTCTCTTCTTTTTTAATTCGTCATTAAAACATTGAAGAGAAAAAGAGTTTTTAATTCTGTCCCAGGTGTCATTAACGGCCATTCTGTTTTTATGAGATTTCTTTTGAGGGTCCCATATGGTCGATTCATTTTGCAAGAGATCAATGAACTCTATCACCTTGGTGTTGTTCCAATCCATGATGAAGGTACTACACAGTAGACGTCTCTCTCAGACGTCACTCACATGCGCACGAATACGCAAACCCGCAAGTGTAGGACGACATTTGCAAATGATTATGCAAAGTTTTCGCTGCATTCGTGGTTTTCCAAGCTGTGTCGGTTTTTTAACAGACATCAAAGCGCGCGAACCTCGAACCTTCGCGTAGTCTCCCACACATTCGCTTGCCCAGTTGCGCCGACGATTGCGAAGGTAACGGACGTATACTATACGCCATTTTCATAGTTCGTGACGTCTACTGTGTAGCGTATCTTCATCAAAAGAAATCCCATAAAAACAGCATGGCTGTTAATGATATCTGGGAAAGAATTCAAAACTCTTTTTCTCTTCAATGTTCTATTGACGAATTAAAAAGGAGGAGAAATTCGTGAGACGTTCGTAAACAAGTGTAGGAGGAAGCGCAAACGGGATTGCAAATTGAGTATGCGAACCCATTTGCACAGCTGCTAAGTTTGCGAATGAATATTTGACGGCCCTTCACATGCGCGCAAACATTCGTACAATGTACGAATATTTGCCCGCATGTGAGTGGCCGGCATTCGCGTAGTCTCCCACACATTCGTTTGCCCAGTTGCGCCGACGATTGCGAAGGTAACGGACGTATCGTCATTTTCATAATTCGTGACGTCTACTGTGTAGCGTATCTTCATCAAAATAAATCCCATAAAAACAGCATGGCTGTTAATGATGTCTGGGAAAGAATTCAAAACTCTTTTTCTCTTCAATGTTCTATTGACGAATTAAAAAGGAGGAGAAATTCGTGAGACATTCGTAAACAAGTGTAGGAGGAAGCGCAAACGGGTTCGCAAATTGAGTATGCGAACCTATTTGCACAGCCACTAGGTTTGCGAATAAATGTTTGACGGCCCTTCACATGCTCGCAAACATTCGTACAATGTACGAATATTTGCGCGCATGTCAGTGGCTGGCATAAGACTTGGGTTCGGCCTTATTGAAATTTTTATTTCAGGAAGAAATTATAAAGGACTTGGCTTCGGCCTTAATGAAATTTTTATTTCAGTATATAACACAAATCATATAAGCCCTTCTTCGGCTTCGGCTTCGGCTTTTTTGATATTTTTTTTCAGAAATTATATAGAACAGACAACGGTGTATGGGCTTAGATCCCCTTGCCTTTCCTAATAAGAAAAAATTGTACCAAAAAATCTATGGTCTTAGATTTAGTAAGACAACACGAAAAATCGAAAATTTAATTTTCCTATTCAATGTAAGGGATTACTATCGTGTTTTCGTGTTTTCAAGGGTATTTTAGTTTTATCAAAGAAGTACCTATGGCTGTAACTTTAAGAAAATCAACGGAACTGTTCACAGTTGCAAAATGGTTAACGCGCAGAGGTTAGGAAATAGAAAATTGTTGTTTGAAAATATTAAAACAATGAATTTAAGAAGTTTTCGTCAATTAATTATGGGCAATCGTCACATGTTTTAGACTGCCGCACTTTGTCTTCACTACCGGAGAAGGCCAAACTCGCGTCACTTGAGGTGACTGAAAAAGCTGAGACGTCTAGGCGTAGACCTAAAAAGGTGAATCCTTTGTTGGAGAATAGACATGCCTACCCCGAATTTCTGCCTGATCCGAACCCTAAATGGCGTAATTCCTTGCGAGAAAAGTTGGAAAGGGCGGATATGTTGAAACGTAGAAATCAGATTGACATACCTGAGTTTTATGTTGGTATGTAATTTTAATATATATCAATTAGGTACTTCATTTATGTACTTAATCACAACTTTTTAAAATTGATTGCATACTATATAACTAAAAACCCCTTTGGTAACTACTTGCCTCCACTTATATTTAGGCTTTTATTTCATTTCTAACTCTCCATATTTTTAGATGATAGTGTTGTGAGGCAATATTTAATTTAATGCTCCTCTCTAGTTAAATTTCAGTATCTCGATACATTTCACATTATTTATAGTTTGTAGCATTTACGTCCACTGATTTTTTCTGTTACCAGCAATTGTAGCATTTGGAGTTAGGCAGATCACTTGAACTCTGCTTTTGTGAACTGCTTTATTTTTATTGGGTCAAATGGAAAACTGGGAATCTAGTATTTGTTGCAAGCTATATGTTCCCATGTAATTATAAGATTATTAGCTGGTTATTCATCTTATTTAAAGCTTTAACCTACTATAAAAGAAACTATTGAATTTAACGACTAGTATAATAAACTCTTAATAAATAAATCTAATGTAACAGGGTCTATCTTGGCAGTAACAATAGCTGATCCTCATTCACAAGGCAAGACCAATAGGTTTGTTGGAATATGTATTGAGAGAAAAGGCTGTGGATTGCGAGCTGAGTTTACTCTAAGGAATGTTGTTGATCATCAAGGAGTTGAGGTATGTCTTTTGCAAAAAATTGCAAGCCTCACTTTAAAAAAAAAGTAAAAGCTTGAAAAGTGTTACTCATTTTTTATTATAAATAATAGTTTGACTGTCTTCTTATAATCAGGGTTTATAATGTGACCTTATAAACCCTGATAATGACTTATGAATAAAACAAATAGAATCAAAATCCTTAGTAATACTAGTTATTACATAAAATTTACTCAACATAAAGTATTTTAAACTTAACAGGTACGCTATGATCTATATGATCCAACAATACACAAGATTCAAGTGTTACGTGTTGAAAAGCGTCTTGATGATAAATTATTTTATCTGCGTGATGCTTTGCCAGAGTATAGCACTTTTTCATTTGATATGGACCCGGAAATACTACCTGAAGGAACTCCAGTACCCATCAATCCAGTGAAGGTAATATTGTACTCTAAAAGTTATTGTGGGATAAAATATGTTTTTAATGTTTATGTCTTAAGATTTAATGTTTTTGTTCATTTGTTCACACACTATATCATATAGACTTCTTTCACTGTTAGCAAAAAAACTGACACTTTGAACATATTTTTTGTCATTACATCGAATTTTGTATAAAAAATATAAATGTGAGTGTAGTTGGTCTTTCGAAAGAGAAGAAAACTAAATGAACAGAAAATTTATTAAGACATGAGCATAGCATCTGATTCATGAATAAGTGTTATAATCAATTTTTAATATAATTAAATTGGCTTTTGGTATCCTTAAAAGTATGGTGGCAGAAAACATGTTAAATTCTAAATCATTTAAAATTTAGATTTTTTAATTAACAATAATGATTTTTATCAAAAGGTTGAACTTAAACCAAAACCATGGCTTGAACGATGGGAGCGACAAGAATTGCAAGGAATTTCTAATATTGAACAGTATTTGACAAAAAAAGATAAAGTGAGAAGAGAACTAAGAAAAACACCCTGGGAAAAATATGATTTGATGAAGCAATACAGGTAAAATGTATCCTAATTAGTAACTGGCTGTTAAGTCACTTCTTTTTGCACTAGTTTTATTAATGCAGTATTATTATTATTAAGGTTCATGGGCCATCCAACAACAACTCCAAACAACATTAAACGATGTTGTTTGGAGTTCATTTGTGGAAGTTAGCGTCGGAACGGTACTTCGATAAGACTATGCGTCATGATAATCGCCTTATCGTTGCCGCCGCTGACTACTCCCCAAATCCCAAGTAATGATTGAACACCTACACAATTGACTAGTGGCTAGTGATTTAGGATTAAAGAAAGCCATACCATTAATTCATGGCCAATCTTTATTCAAAAGATTTCAACATGATCTGTTTTATTTCCAGGAAAACTATTCCAATTGAGGAACAGACTGATATTTGGTCTGAAGTGAACAGTCAATTACAGCAGTTACAACTAGCGCGCAAGAAATCAACAAGGAAACGCACCTTTAGTGCCCCTAAAACGCAACTTGGTTGAAAAATATAAGAAAGTAGAAAAAATAGAAATGGTTATTAATTAGGACAATAAAATATGCTAAAGTTTGTTGTGTTTTCTTAGATAGATGGACTGTCGTGTCTTCTAATTTTATTGCGTTTTGGAAGAAACGCGCCAGAGCTTAGGGTCGGCCGTAAGACTTATCTCGTGTTCAGGGTTTACTGGAACCCCTTGAAAACAAAATGTGAATACCACCGCTGATTTGGGGATCCTATTATGTATAAAATTTGTTAATTTATACGATTTTACTAAGAGGATTTTTTAAAACTATTTTAAAACAATAGATTTGCGAAAGAAACAATCTTATATATTAAACGTGCATTAAACGTAAACAAATATTCGAAACGCATTCCGAAAACCAACGAAAACTGAACATGAAGGGTAGAAAGAAAGACAACAAAGCCACAAACTCTGTACCTACTCTATCTATTAAACTGCCCACCGACAGCGGCCAATTAGGGATCGACATGGTTGCATGTGGTGTAATTTTAAAAAAGGCGCGCGCAGTGTAATTTTATTAAATTTTACAACACAACGCGCACCATACTCCGAATACAATTATTTACATTTATTTACATCATACCACTTGCTCCGTTAGCACTGTTTCGGTAGGTATTTGAGTTGAATTTGCTGCTCTCCTTACTTCTACCCTTATGTGAACCCAGAACAGTTCTTCGAGGAAGTGTAATAATATCTATGCTCGAGGTTACTGGCAGACAGATTGCAAAATAAAAACTTTTTATAACGATTTTGGAGGGTAGGAGTAAGGAGGACTATCACAGCGTTTTAAAAAATGTCCGCTGAAATGGAGCCAATTAAGGTGGCGCCATAGCAGCAAGTGGAAAGATTTAAAAAACAGTGCTATAAACTATTAGAGTATGATATTAAAATAAGGACGAAAGAAAAACTTCGTACGTAAATAGTAATAAAAATAAATAGTTGAGATTATAAATACTCCATATTTTTTAACTGCACAAATCACTAAAAATATTAAACGTTCAACCGAGCATACTTCACTCTCAGCTGCTTCATAGTATAATTTCCATTTCCTACACTAGCGCTACTTCGTTCGGTGAGTCTTCTAACAAAGATTTGCTTTTTACAGGTGAACACTATTTCAACTTGTCTCTATAAACAAGATGGCCTCCTTTACTTCTGAGGGAGTCCATATAGAGTCCCTTCTTTATTTTGCCATAAAATTATGTTTTATGTCATTAGCACAACAGTTGAAACAATAGGAGATTTATTGTTGTAGCGGCATAAATAATTCTAAGTTATTATTTTACGAGTATATTAGTTATTATACACATTATATTTTATTTTTCGTTTTTAAATTTTCGGCGGTAAAAAGGTCCCGTGTCACAGACTATATGCTTTTTCCCACCTCTCGTGCGTTCCGGCTTACGCATCATAAAAATGTGCGTTGTTAAACGCCACACTTCTCCGAAAATATTAACGATAATGCTGACACATAAGCACAGAAGAAAGAGATTTTTAAATAAGTTAATTTATATCTATGTTTTATTATGTATTATAAAGTGTCGTTACTTATTCACTACTTTTTCACAGATTATGTAATTTAAAACCTGAGTACATGGAATTGAGATTTGAGACCCTACTTGTGCACATTTAATATAATATCCCTCGGTAGCCTCTGAATAATAGGGTATTTTAATAAATACATATGTATATTATCTAAACCCAAACTATTATCTGGGGGTGATCTGTGTCTAAAATAGAATATGCTGACATTGCTGATAACCATAGACTATTTACACTTAACAAAACACTGACGATGTAGTGTGTTGCTTTTTTGACAACTCAAGTTGTGAAGTTTTTGCAATATAACATGGTAAAATAGTTCTTAGGTCTGAGAAATATGAATGTTACCGAGAGAAAACATAAAATGGCTGGCTTGCTCACAAAATACAAGACAATTTAAGTGCTTGCGTGCGTGCGGCGCGGGCGGTCATCGAGGGATTTTTAGTTCTTGATAGCATTTCCTTGAGATCGTTGAAGACCATGAAAATTCAAATCAAAAGTGAATACTCGCTAATATAAGTGTCAACACTGTGGAGTTTTCTCAGTTATTGTAATTTAAAACTTTCTTGAAGCTTGGACTTTTGTGTACACCTGTCGCGCCGTAAGTTACTGTTTATGTTCATAATTTACCGAAGTTCCCCATTGGAGTTTAGTTCTTTTTGTTTAAAAGTCGAAAACTATAGTACAATTTTCTTTGTAATCGCAAAAACCGTTACAATTAATTATGCTTACGGTACATGCTCTTCAGATCAGCGGTAAGCAGTTTCCGTGTTGCAAAACTGCAACTGCATTCTGTATGGGCAACCTTGATTTATCGATTATGCGTCATTATAATCTGTACATAAATTCTTAAAATTTTAAAGAATTACATTATAATTTGATGATTATGATAACTTTTGTTTTTAATAAGTTTATCCAATAAGCACGAGTTTAATTTAGCTGTTGTTATCATGCAATAAACTTGCATGCTTTTTTGCAATGTATATTAAAGAGGAACAGACACTCAATATGTTGTGTAAGTAAAAATATAAAGATTTATGTATTTTTATATTTTACAACTAACAATATTAAACTTGATTAAATATAGTACTGCTAGTAGAACATTCAGTATAACAAAATTAAGATTTAAAAAACAATACATAAAGGATTATTATACACATCGCAATCATCAGTTTGAGTTCAGTAACTTAAGGTTAAACAGCTATGCATAAGAATAGAACTTTATTTATCTAACTCACAATCAATTTGTACTTTTCCAGATCCCAACCCCATTGTCCCTGGTCTAATCCTTTCCCAATGTCCTTGAAGAAGAAATGGAAAAGGAAGTTTATTGTAAAACAAAAAAAATGTAAATAGGAATTAATAATGTGCTCTTTGCAGTTGACATTTTTGTAATAAAAACGACTCTAACGATACTGCAAAGAAATCTTAGGAATATTTGTAAATGAAGACTGCTGAAATTAGAAATTCAGAAGTCTGAAATTTGCTTGTAATGTGCTTACTATTGTTGACTTATTATTTATGTTAAATTCTGATTAAAGAATTTCTGATTCTCTTCTTCAACTAATGTCCACCCAATTAATTATTTTCGGTCTCTTGCCTTTCACATCCACCATCCATTTCTGATTGAAGAAATCAAATAAAAAAAAAAACAGGTTCAAATCATGCATGTTATCTGATACCAACATATGATTCTTTGTACTATGAGACTTAGAGAACTAGAGACCGAGATACAATATATGGTCAAAAATATAATTATATGTATAGATGAAACATCCAGACAAAGAGCAAACAAACTTGTTTTTCACTTGTATGTGTTCCCAATGTGGGAATTGTATCAATGGCCCTCCACTCAGCAGTCTAGAGCGGTGACTGTGTCACCAAGTTAACTGAATTACTATTCCATGCATACTACTTATTTGTAAATAAAACAGATCTAAGGTGAAGTTATCAACTTAAATGAAATAATTGCTGAGTAATGTCAATCATTCTTCTGACAGAAATCTTCAGTAAACAAAATTGTAAAATATAAATAATAGTGACTATAAACAGAGTGAGGGCTTCCACTTTCGATAGATTAGTAAATACAGAGGAGATATGCACAACTTAGAATCTGGTTATAAATAATTCAATGAAAAAAACTATTTAACTGAGGAAGAATGTTTTTTTTTTTTGATAATATTACCACAATCAGAAATAACAACTCTGGTTTTTTCACTCATCTAGAACAATCACTTATCCATCATCCAACCCCAGTACAGTATCCTTATCTGGTTTTTGTATTCATGTTCTTAATTTCATAATTTGGTAACCAAAATCACAGTAAATTAGAGAATAATCTGAATACCTCCACCCACCCAACTAGAGAATAATCTGAATCCCTCCACCCACCCTGACAGATCAGGTTGAAGCTTCAATTGTGTTGTATAAGGGCATTTTCACTCTTCACCTGAACGAATTACTGCTTCCCGGCAGCAACAGAGAGGATAGTGGTACCATGTGGGCTTACAATATACCCTACCAAGAGTAATTACGCAAAGTACAGTTTTTCCGTGTTTCGTCTTTATTACACGACGTTATTCCTCCAGCGCGGAAGTCGTTTTGTGTTAAGTACGTATTAATACCTGTCTGCAGGATTCGAGCAAGTCGGTTAATACTAGTATACTAGCTTGTTTGATAATTTTTGCAATTAATAAAATTGATTTCGCATCAAAATGGCCGGCTGTATGTACATTCTGGTGTGTGTGCGGGCTTGGAGAAGTAAGGATCGAAGTGTCGGTCTATTCGTCCGTCTAGCCCCTCAAATATAAGATAAGATCTATAGGCTCTAGTGAACGCAATAAATTAGGGTCGGCTCTAGAATCGTATCTGCCCACTACATGAAAAACAAGTTGTATTTATTTTCAACTCTTGCATTAGACGCCTTCAACTATAACAATAGAAGCAGGCCCAGTACCCGTCCTCGTCGAGCTCGGCAAAGAGTTCGACGTGCAACTTAACCGATGCATCAGTCCCCTGAGTGTCTTGTCGGATCTTCTCGACGGGTCACGATTCCAATTCAGTAGTAGATTCATTCGCGAAGCAGCTGCTCTTGAGGTTTTAGGTCTCCTTTGGAGGCGCTCGGGCAGCTGTTAGCGAATCCCACCCCTCCTGGTCGAGCTTTTGCTTGTCCACCTGTCCTGGTGAAATTGGAAAGGCCTCCGGGCCACCAGTAACCCCTCAATTATAAAAAAAAAGTTGCATTTACTTCAATATATTTTGGTGTAAACTAAGAAATATTGTCCGGCCACCAACAAAATGTGATCTGCTCGAAAAGGATTTAGCGCAAATTCGTAAAAAATTATTTTACTTTTTTTATAATTATCATTAATTAATAGGACAATAGTTTATAGTAAATTCATTTCAAAGATATACGGCCCTTCGATTGGTACGCTTTCTTTCATCAGACGATAACCATATGTACTCAAAGATTAGTTAGATTAGGGTCAGTGCAGATTGGTAGTCA